GGTTCCCAAACATTTTTTTGTTGTCTGGTTTAGAGCCAAATTGCACTTGTGGCTTTGCAGTGATGACTGTGTAATCATGGGACCCAAAAAGTGATGCATTATGGAGCAAACTGATGAAAGTTGGGAATTTAACTGCTCACCATCCTTAAGGGAAGTGGACCTCTAGTTCTTTGGAATTTAAATTATTTGCTTGAGCTTGAAATGAAGTAAAGGAAGATACCCGTATAACTTTAGTTTATAAAAATTTTTAATTGTCTGAAGGTAAAAAGGAGATAAATTTTACTTTCTGATGAGCAGGCATCATATAAGTGAATGGGAACACCTTTGTTAGACTACTCAGCGGTGTGCATAAGCATAAATAAAACCCATGAAACCCTTAAACTTTTAAATGTTGGGCTTTAAACCCACTGAGTGAGATCAGAATGGTACATAAGGTTAACGCAGTCTGTTTCTTCTGATGCCAAAATGATTACACAACCAGCTCCAAGTTGTTAACTGTTCTTTTTTCAGTCCCTTATGCTGATCCCAATTCAAACTGACTTTTGACTTAAACTGAATTTCGACACAACTGCACCTTGCAGTGATGATTCTGAGTGGTAAAATAGCATGTACATTATCAGAAAGCATGTTGCTTTTAAACAGTCTGAGGACAAATTGTGCTCTTCCTCATGATTCAAGTCGACATTATTCTAGATGTGTCCTCAAGGGTAGCAAAGATCAGAATCTGCACAACATACTCATATCTATTCCTGAATAAAGATCTTACTAATGTGAATTCATAACATTTTAATAGTATAGAGCTGATGCCAGGTATTTGTAGTGAAATTTTTCTTTAGGATGCTGTTTTGTTATTCTTGGTTTTAATCTGCAAAAAGATGTTTTGTGTAGTCTAATAAAATGTTTGGAGTTTGGTTAATTAGTATTATCCTAGTCATGTGTATAATTAATGCGCCAGTTGTGGTCTGCCCAGAAAGCTGGTATGCTATGTACTGGGATAACTTTGAAAGTATAGTTTGGGCAGAAGTTCAATAAAACCAAAGAAAAGTTCTGCAGTATTGTTTGGAAAAGTCAGATAGGATTATTAGGTAAGCTTTCTAAATAATTAGTGGAAGTGGAAAAACAATTTCTGTAAATCTTTGCGTATCAAACCTATTTCCAGACAAGCTTTATCGAAGTTTCTATTGCATTCTTATGCAGGGATGTGCATTCCTATGTAGTTTTTTAGTTTTAGTTCTCCTTGTTATGGTATTAGGAATTAAAAATATCACGATTCAAACAGCATTCATCCTTCTCAGTTATTTTAAATTTTACATATATAATGTTTAAATTTACAGAGAAAATTCCCGCATATCCTGGTCCATTTTCTCTTTTTTGAGTAAACAAACTATAGAGTGGAAATTTTTCACAATTTAATTTTAAAAATGTATTTTCTGCTGTCTAATGATTGTGCATGAAGTTGATATGGAACATTCGATATGGATATAATATTCTAGAAAAGTTACATTTTTTATCTTAATTAAATTGGTGTATTTACATTGTCATTATTCTAATGGAGTAGTTCAATCTGTAGAACACAGGAGAATAACATAAAAGAAATTATGACTTCAGATAATGTATGAAATACTAACATTTTAATTTGGAAAGACTACTTGGATCTTCTTGCCAGGTCCTCTCTTTCCACATCAAAAGGGAGGGGCAATGAGAAAAATGAGGCTTAGCAAGTGTTGTGGTAAAAATGGAAGCATTATGATTTCCTAATGTAATTTTAGAAGTTGAATCACCTCTTTAAGTTATGTCCACAATTTTCTCTTTCTTCCTTCTTAACCCATTTTATTAGTCAATTATTTTCCAGTGAAATAATTCTGAAAATTCCTTTTGTAATACAAATTCAGTATTAGGTCAATACTAGCTTTTGGGTTGGTATTATTAAGCCTCAATAATGCAACTGTAATTTGACCTGGAAACCTATTTTGATTTGATAGTTATAACAACTATTTTTTAATGTCTGCAGTTTGTTTTACATTGCAAGTATTTACTTACAACTGAAATATTATTACATAAATAATATAAAGACTCAGAAGAAACATTTGAAAACATTTTACAAGCATCAGTGGAAAGTAGTTACTGGAGGACATGGGATCAGTTTCTTCCTAGCAAAAGATTGTACAGTATGTAGCAGTCCTTTGACTAGCAACAGATCTTTCACTGAGCTCTTGAGAAGCAGTGCATTCAAAAAGATGAAGTTCCTATTTGCAAATCACAGTTCAAAAGCTCTCTCTCATGTGTTGTCAAAGGGTTTTCATTCTCTGAGGAGTCAGTGAAGTTGTTCCTAGTTAATTATTCAAAAATAAACCCTTTGGGCTGTCCTTTTAATTGTTTTCCAGGTGCCATAACCTGCAGATTTCAGCAAGAAATAAATTTAGATACAGCACAGTAGGAGGTTTTAAAAGCCAGCAGCTTCTGCAAAGAATTGTCAAGAACAATCTGCAAGGAGACTCATTTTGGCATATAGATTTTGATCTGAAACAGTGCAGGAAAGGAAGTGCTACTTGCCAGCTCTCACCACCATATGCTTTATTATAATGTAATGTACAAAGAATATGGCGACAGCAGCTGCTCTAGAGGGAGGTGGCCACTTGTTAGATTTTGAAACCTTTCTGAAATGTCTGTTCATTTTATTTTCACTGGTATTTTTTCCCCTTGCTTACGTATTTGCATTCAAAATATATTCACTAAAAGAAATCTATTTTTAGACTGCAGTAAGAAGAGGAGAGTGTGATCTACTTTTTGTTGAAATAAAAATAATTTGAGAAAGACTCGAACATTTAGTTTTATATATGGTGAAACGTGGATAGATTTTTATTTTCTCAATATCCCTTCACATCAGGTCATGATGAAATCATATGTATAAATTAATTATTGTCTAGGATTGCATTTCTTTGATGGAACAAAAATTATGTCTTTCATTGTTTTCCAGTGTGTGTTTGCTAGTGGCTTGATCATATTCACATTAAGTGTCGAGATTCACTGACTTCAGTGGCAGAGAGAACCAAAGCATAAATGAAGATTTAGATCTAAAATTGAAAGAGTTCGGTATGATGCAGCATCGCTACCCAGACAGTGAAGCGGATTGCTCTGTTGCTTTGGGAAACCTGAAGTTCTTAGCAAAATTTAGGAACTGTGTGCCTGCAATGTCATGAAAATGAACCTCATTTATTTAAACAAAACTGTATTTTCAATGGTGGTTTTTTTGACTCCTAACCAAGGTTTTCACATCCACTGAATGTAATAATCCTTCCAGATACACATTACTACAAGGTCTTGGGTTTTAAACTAGGGATTCCTAAGGGAATTTGAGAATCCAGAGGGAAGTTACATCACAGTATAATGGGATTATAGCAGGGCAAGTTGTTATAGCATATAATAAAATGCATATATCATATTAGCATTTTTTGCTGAGTGTCAGTGGTTTACATTGACCCTGGAGTAATGCTAAAATGTCATAGCAACACAAATATGACCCATTTAACTCAGTAAAAAAGATGGTTCGTGTAGAAGAAAGATGAAAATTGTAGAAGAAAATTCTTTTTGGAAGGATAAATCTCTCTGAGAAAGAGATTTTTAGGTTATTATGTATTGCTCACCATAGATGCCTCTCTCTGAAAAAGAAATTACATTAATCTATCTGTCACCAGGTATATATTTTCCTGGTGACAGAAAGATGACTCTTATGGAAAATCCATCTGACCTTTGTTTTTTTAAACCAGCTGCAACTGGCAGTTATCTGGAATACTTACTTACTTGCTAATGCTTACTTAAAGGTCCCCTTTTGCCTTTTTGTGGCTGAGCCTGTTGCAAGAATTCAAATCTTACTGAGGGGCAATGCAGGGAATTCTGTCTACTCAGAAAGCCCATTTCCAAAGTAGACTGGATTTTAAAGTCTATAATGAAATTAAACATGGATTCTGAATATAGTCTTGCAGTCCTAAAGCTGCAAAATGTGAGGCAAAAGTTTAAATCATGTTGAAAATGATGATCTAGAGTCTTGTCTTGAGTCAAATCAAACCCTGTTTTCAATGCAAATTAAAGTTGTGAAAGGACTTTCCCTTCTTTGGTTCCCCAAAGTGTAGTTTAGCCCTAGCTTAAACAACACTTTTCTAATTCTACTGAGTACACAAAAATTTAAGTTATCAACAGTCTCTAGTTCACACGTGGGTCGCTTTAAGTCAATCTCCAGTCTTGACAACACAGGAACTTTTTGTTTGGGGTGTATTACACCTCCAAGAAAGTTTGTAAATAAAATGTGTGTTTCTTTCTTTGTATTTTGACTGGGAAGGTAAAGCCTTCCTTGTCTCTAGAAGGACTGAGAATTGTCCTGAGTTGCAAAATGTTTGACCTTACTCCATTTTTTGTATCATAGAAAGCATTTATTGTCTGAAGCAGCAGACTAAAGTATGGTAATTCTAGAAATGGGTACTTTTAGATGCAGAATTGTTATTTTACAGATTATTGGAAACACCCTTTTCACTGAGATTTACTGTTATGAATAAATGACTGGTAGAAAAAAAAGGACAGATCTTTCTCACTGTTATAACCATGAAAGTCAGCAAAACAATATAATTCTAAGCAAGTGAGAAAAGAAAATACTCTGTGACAAATGAGAATTAATTATTTTTGAGCATAAGAAAGTTACTTAATTTTTAATGATGTATTGCCTAACCATCACAAGCTATTCAACTGCCAATGGCTAATTCAAAAGAAAAGAAATGCAAGAGACCAAATGTAGCTACTTGTCTAGAGAAATGTTACTGTGAGAATAGCTGCTTCAAGTGTGTTAAAGCTCTATGGATTTTTTGCTAGCTTTTAAAAATTGGAAGACATGATTGCACAGTTAGAGTTTGAGATCTTAAACTGTACACCATAACTTTGTTATTAATTGTTCAGAAGGCGTATACTGCTTATCATCAGTGAAATTAATATCTGATTTTTATTCTCTTCAGCCACCAGAAAAAGAAGGTGGCCTGCCTCGCCAGGTAGGCAACAAGACAGAGTGTGGCCTCTTGGGATTTGTCCTGGATTTGAAGCAGGACTATGAGCCTGTTCGGAACCTCATCCCTGAGGAGAAACTCTATAAAGTTTACACCTTCAACTCTGTCAGGAAGTCAATGAGTACTGTCATTAAAATGCCAGATGGCAGCTTCCGAATGTACAGCAAAGGAGCTTCTGAAATTGTTCTGAAGAAGTAAGTTCAATGGATTAGTTGCTGTGTTTTTCCAAAATGAAAAATATTCTGACACTAATAAGATATATGTGGGAATTTCAGTATATGGAATTTGCTACTTACAGTAGAAACATGACATGCTGTAGTAGTATAAGCTGTTATTGTTCTTTTCTATTTTTTTTTTTAAGTGCTCACTCTTGCAGAACTGTTTGGGTTTTGGTTTTTTTTATCATTGCCCAGCCTACATTTGATTTGAATTGGGCCTACATTTGATAATTTATGAATGGATTCTTTATATTCAGCCCGTTTGGAAAATAAGGATTTTTCAATTTCATTGTAAGTTGTAGCTCATCATTACATAGGTATTGAGGAAATAATGGGTGAAGGGCTCTTGGTGTCCCTGTATTAAGTTACAAACAAATTCTGATATTTAAGTAGTGAATCTTCTTGTTTAATCTAGAAATTTACACTAGAAATTTTAAATTTGCCATCAAAAAAGGAAAGTCTGGAAGTGTTGAATGAAATGAGTCGATATAAGGAAATGCTTTTTAGCAGTCATGCAAATACACAATCAACTTTTTTTTTTCCCCCATAAATAAAAAAGATGTTCCAGGATCCTTAATGCAGCTGGTGAACCTCGTATCTTCAGACCGCGTGACCGAGATGAAATGGTGAAGAAAGTGATTGAACCTATGGCCTGCGATGGACTGAGAACTATCTGTGTTGCTTTCCGAGACTTTAACAGCAGCCCAGAGCCTGACTGGGACAATGAAAATGACATTTTATCTGACCTGACCTGCATTTGTGTTGTTGGCATTGAAGACCCAGTAAGGCCAGAGGTATATCAAATTCTTACATTACAAAGCATTGCTCAGACAACTGAACATAAATTGAACTACAAATTTCTTGGAATTTTAATCTTTTTTTTTTTTAATTAGCTTTGTCAAAGAAGATGGAAGTGAGCTTCAGAAACAGAATTTACTTGATAAAAAGTCAAATAATTAACTTGATAAAAATTAACTATTAATGAACTGATACTTAAATAAATCAAAATAGGGCTTTTTGAACTACAGGATTGAGATGACTTAACATTCTCTCAAGGGGTAGTATACAGGAGGACTGACCAGAAGAAGTTTTGTTATGTCACCAGATATTCAAGAATTTTCCTTTAAGTAATGTGGTGATATGCAACTCTGAAAGTAGCAAAAAGATGTGTAGTGGTTGTACTTGCCCTGATTATAACTGCAACGTGCTGGCTTTCCACAGAAATGGCACGCAGTCTTGGAGTTTTGTGTTTTACTGTAACACTTGCCACTTCACTAATTGTCTTAAGATTGTAATTGATGGCTGCTCAGGAAAACTTTTTAATGTTGGACTTGGATGAGGAACCGCTTTGCCATGGAAAGGCTGTAGATTTCAAGGATACTATACTTAAATGCCTTGTGAAAATATGACTAAAAGTTTAACTCAACCAAGAAAATCAGTATTGGGTGCACACGCTGGACACTTGTAAATTATATTACTACAGTAATGCAAAGGGTGCATTAAGAGGTAGAAGTTTTGTTTCTGACCTGTGTATGTGGTTCTTGATCATTAATCTTGGTGGTGGAGAGTTAATTCCATTTTACAGTTTAGGAACAGTGACAGAAGGTAGGTCCAAAAGTTGAAAGTGCTGAGCATAAAACGCGCGCATTTTTGACACCTTTGGTGCTTTTGTCACTGACTCAACCACGAATGTGTGGCCACGGCTACTGTGTAGGCAGAGCTGCAGCCCGTGGCCTGATGTGAGAGCACCTGCCCCAGCATCTCCCACAAATGGGGGGAGCAATTAATGCTCTCCCGTTTTTCTCCAAGAAATCCACTCTTCAATTCTGCTGTTATTTCAGTAGATGATTAATGACTGTGGTTTGCTTTGGAGTAAGATCATTGAAAGATAACTCAAATTTCTCTTACACAAAGGAGAGGGTTCTCATGCTGCAAAAAGTAGTTTGGTACCAATCTTTGTCTCTTTTATTCTTCTGTCTCATTTTACATTTTTGCTGGATGTCATCATGTCTAAATCTTTGTATTTGATCCACTGAGAATTGGTGGCAATGCTAGGCATGTTAGGAATTTTTTTTTTTTACTAAAACATCAAAAGTATAAATTAAAAAATATAAATTAAACCTCCAAAAATATAAATGAATCACCGAGTCCTTTATAAAGTAGGCTTTTACATACTTCTGACTGCTGTAGCTTTGGAAACTAGCATGACATAATTGCAACTACAGGTACCAAATGAATAACTGCTTTTCCTGATAATAGGTTTCTTGGGGTTATTTTCAGTATCAGGGAAGTTATGTTATAAAGTAAGTCTTACTTAGGCAAAAACTGAATGATAAACTTCTCAGCTCTGCAACCATCAGATAAACAGCATTTGCTTTAATTGTCATCAGATGGGCTCTTGCTGCTAATCCATCTGTCCCTACACCTGACATTGCAAGTCTTTAAAAATATTTAAAAGCATTCTTAATATGTTCTGTCTGCAGTGATCCCTTAATGCTCTAGCTCACCTATATATAAACTCAGAAAGTTTTTAACTGTCAGCGACCACTGGAACTGCAACTCAGTCCTCTTTCC